CACGGAGCTGCGCGGCTGGCGGCTGAGCTGCGAGGGCGGGCGGCAACGCTGGAGCTACCTGCCCGCCCGGGACGGCGCCGGCGCCGGCGAGGCGGCGAGGCGGGCGCAGACGGCGCTGGAGGCGCATTGCCTGGGGCTGAGCACGGTGAGGCGCCCGCCGCCACCCCGGGGGGCCGGTACCCGAGGAGGAGGGGGGCGCCGAGGGCCGGGGGGGCACCTGGGGCTGGTGGTCGGCGCCTAGGGCTGCTGTTCGGCCGCTCTCCCCAGATGGGGAGGGCTCGCAGGGGCTGCATCCCCCCTGGCTGTCATGTGGGGGGGAGCTCTGGGTTTGGGGTGCTGCTCCACCCTCAAGTGTGGGGGGAGACCCTGGGCTTGAGAGGGGCTTCCTGGGGATGAGGTGCCTCCCTCTTCCGAAAGTGTGGGGTCCTTGGTGCTAAGAGGGTCCTGGGGATGAGGTGTACCCCTGTCCCTAATGGGGTGATCCTGTGGCTGAGATGTCTCCCCCAAGGATTGGGGTTGGGCTTGAGGGTGGCTCCTGGGGCAGAGGGGACACCAGTCTCTAGCTGGGAGAGGCTCTTGAGGTTTGGGGGTGTCCCTGGGGCTGAGGTGCCCCCCTAGTCCTCAGTTGAGGGGGGGATCTCTGGGTCTGGGCCCCAACCGGGGGGTCTCTGGGACAGAGGTGTCTCCAAGGGCCTGAGTCCCGAGGCTCCCCAGGCGCCCTGGTGGAAGGGACATTCCTGGGGCTGGGATGGGGGGGTGTCCCTGGAGCTCAGGTGTCCCCAAGCCCCATGTGGAGATGGGGGTTCCAGGGCCTAGAGTGAGGAGAGGGGCATCACCCGGGCCCTGTTCCCATCGGGGGACCCCGACTGAGACGTTGTCTCCTTGCAGGATGAAGTGCTGCGACCCTTGCCGGCGGCTCACACGGCACGGGAGGCAGCCCGCAACGGCATGCGGTTTTATGCCAGCCTTCAGGCTGAGGATGGTCATTGGGCTGGTGATTATGGCGGGCCGCTCTTCCTGCTCCCAGGTCAGTTGTGGTTGGGTGCTTGGTACTGCCATGGGGTGCTGGGGTGACTCCTCAGGGCAAGGAGGAGCTCCCAGGTGCTCCGGGCCTGCTCGGTGCCCTGCCAGGAGGCCCTTCCCTCTGCTGAGGTGGGAATGGGCGAAATGGCCATGGCTGGGCATGTTTGCCATGTTGCTTCATCCCGGCACATCTCTGCCTTGTCAGCAGAAGCATCAGTCATGAGTGCAGGGGTGGCTCCATGTCGTGCCTTGGTGCAGTGCCCCAAGGCCCTGGGCTGTGCTGGTGCGAGAGACCTGCTTTTCTCAGCCAGATAAATACACGGCATTGGACATGGTAAGAGAGTCCCTCTGCCTCATCTTCCAGGTCTCCTCATCACTTGCCACACTGCAAAGATCCAGCTGCCGGAAGGGTTTCGGGAAGAGATGGTGCGCTACCTGCGCTCTGTACAGCTCCCAGATGGCGGCTGGGGCTTGTGAGTAGCAGCGGGGTGTTTTTGTGGGGTGCTTTTGTGGTGGTGCCCCTGAGATTCAGCACTTGGAGCTGCTGCAGAGTCTGACAAGGTTTGGGAATAGGAGGTGGTGGCTGTGGTACCTCTGGGTGACTGCCCAACTGCTTGTGTAGGACTCTAGGGATGCTTCCCTGCCACAGATGCCTAGCTGCATCTCCTGCTTGGCACTATCCCCAAGTGTTGCATGTTTTGGGTGGTGCAGAACAAAAATGTTTCTATCTAGGTTGGGTCTCCCTTTTCCACAGTCATCCTTAGCACCCCATTTTGCCCTGGCCAGGAAAGCCCCATGCAGTGGGTTTTGTCTAATGTCTGTCTCGTGTGTATGTGTGTGCACTCATGACAGGCACGTGGAAGACAAATCGACAGTGTTTGGCACAGCACTGAACTACACTGCCCTGAGGATCCTGGGGGTCGGTCCGGATGACCCAGATGTTGTGCGGGCCCGTGTCAACCTGCATAGCAAAGGTCAGCTCTGCTGCCTGGTACGGCAGCTGTGGGGCTGGGACACTCACTGGGGAGGTTTGGCTGGCCCCAAGTGCTGAGTGGAGCATGGGGGCAGGCAGTGGAAGAGCTGATGCACTTGCTTGCCTTTGATAGCACCTCTGTTTCAGGTTAAGCCTGGGAAGGGTGTTTTGTTTCTGAGCCATGATTTGCTTGATGTGTTTTGGTTTTGTTTTGTTTTGTCTTTGACATCTGTCCCAGCCCCAGTGGCACATGCTTAAATGGAGGAGAGGATGATCCGACTATGTGTGTAGGTTTGGGAATTGGCTTGTTTGCATTAATCCCCCGAACTAATATCCCTCTCTGCAGGAGGTGCTGTGGGCATCCCTTCATGGGGGAAGTTTTGGCTGGCTATCTTGAATGTTTACAGCTGGGATGGGATGAACACTCTTCTCCCAGAGATGTGGTATGTGCTGCCCCAGTGTGGAAGTGGGGCGTATTTTCAGTTTTGCTTGGCCCCCAAGCCCTCCAAACTTTGATGTTGATGGAGATCACCCCCACCTGCAGCTGCTCCAAGCAGCCAAGAGGCTGCTCCTACTGCCTGTGAGCTGGGACACCTGTGGGCTGGTCTTGCTGTTGGGGTAGGACTTGTTGGGTGCATAGGACTGAACGTTAAGTGCCAGAGCTCAGCCCTATTAGCATCAAGACCTTGATATGGGTAGCAGAGAGCTGATGCGTATTATCTTCTGCTCTGGTGGCCAGCCAGGCCTGGGCCCTAGCAGGACAGATCTTATTGTATGTAAGGCTGCCAGCTCTAGCGGTCACGCAGTGCCAGGGACTGTTTGAGCTTTGTTCTCAGCTCTGTCTGCAGCCCAGGCCTCTCCCTTCATGACTGCACTAAAAGGAGAGGTGTCCCTGACTGGACTTGTCAGCCTCCTCCCTGAGCTCGGGGTCCTCCCTGCCCTGTCTGGATTTGCCCAAGAAGGGTCGCTGCTGGCCCTGGTGGAGGGGGAGCAGCCTTGCTGGGGAGGGACTGTGTGGGGCCAGGCTGCATGGACATCCTCTTATGTCCTTTGCAGCTGTACGGGCAGCAAAGGGCCCTGAGCAGGAATAGGGAAAGGATCCCCCTGCTTCAGGCATTCCCTGCCGACACAGCATAGCACCATGCCTCCCTTGGCCCTCCCTGTCCCTCATGCTAAGACCTTCTCTGTTGTGACCAGGCTGCTCCCTACGTGGTTCCCAGCCCATCCGTCCCGGCTGTGGTGTCACTGCCGCCAGGTTTACCTGCCCATGAGCTACTGTTACGCCAAGCGTCTGTCAGCAGAAGAGGATGAGCTTGTACAGAGCCTGCGGCAGGTAAGCAGGAGACCCTTATGGAGCCTCCTAACAAGGATATGTGGCTCCCTGACCTGCTGCTGTGTCCTTGGGACAAACCTCTGGGTCACCAAGTGACAGCCCATGCCTGCACAGGGGAAATGGTGTCTGTCCAGGTAGAAAAGCCAATTATCCACAATAAACCAGCTCAGGGTGTTTGCTGTCGGCCTGCCAGGCTGATGCCCTGTGTTCTCTCATGCCAGGAGCTGTACGTGCAGGACTATGCCAGCATAGACTGGCCAGCCCAGCGGAACAACGTGGCTGCCTGTGATGTGTACACGCCGCACAGCTGGCTCCTGGGGGTGGCATATGGTGAGTGCATATGGCTGGCGTGGGAGGATTCTTGCCATGCTGCTGCCCTTGCACAAGCTGGTGATGGAGCTCTGGCTGCCTGGCACCATGGGAGCTCCCTATGGACTTCTGCTGGCTGGTGGTGCATATCCTGGATCCGGAATGGGAACTATGACCATGTATGTGGTCCACGGTCTTCTCTTGTGTCTATGTGAGAGCTGCAGGTCATTGTGTCCTGATGCTGTCGTCTCTTCGGGGCAGAACAATCCCCCTGCTTCCCTCAGCTAGCGATGCTGTGAGCAGTGGTACAGCCGACTCCTGCTACATAAATCAGCTTTTTCACAGTACGTCCCTTTTTCCTTCTGCAGCCATCATGAACATGTATGAAGCCATCCACAGCACCTCCCTGCGGCAGCAAGCTGTGGCAGAGCTGTATGACCACATCAAAGCTGACGACAGATTCACCAAGTGCATCAGCATTGGCCCGGTAGGCTGCTTGCTAATGACCCTTTAAAAGTCCTACCTTTAGCTCTGTTTCTTTTTGTGGCCTTGAGGGACTATGCTGGGGCTCCCAGCCCTTTACAAGTGTGACCTGTAATCATAACCAATAGATCTTGCTCAGGCACAACTCCTAATGGTAATAGAGCACTGGAGATACAGCTGACTTTGGGGCAGCTGTGATCTCTGATGAAGGGCACCTTTTCCAGTGTGCAGGGAAGTGATTTGGGGGGAAGTTCTGGAGTAATCTCATGGCTGATCTGGGCAGTGTCACACTTAGGGTGCAACACAATGGTTTGAGCCATTGGAACAATGGACCTGTAAAGGGTTATGTGCTGGGTGGGAGTGATGTACATCTCTGGGGTTTGCAGCATGCTGTCTCCATGCTCTGATACTGTTCTCTTGGCAGATTTCCAAGACCATCAATATGCTGGTCCGCTGGTTTGTGGATGGGGAAGACTCCCCAGCTTTTCAGGAACACGTCTCCAGGATTCCAGACTATCTCTGGTAAGGGCTGAGCAGGACCTGCCTGCCACAGCACAGGGCTCTGATCTGTTTGTGTGAGCATGCTGTGGTTTTCAGCCCCGTTGCTGGTGCTCTTGCTGTGTCTGCGCTGCAGCACTGTGCTCTCTTCTCCCACAGGCTGGGCCTCGATGGCATGAAGATGCAGGTGACGTGCTGTGGAATTTCAGCTGTGACTGACAGGGACCCACGCATGCTGTGGCAACCTGTGGGATGGGACAGCTTGTTCACACTGGGGCTGGGCTCTCAGCAGCTTGTCTTGCCTGTCTCACTACCACTTCTCCAGCAGTGCCAGCAGCAAGCAGTGTCTGTCCTGCTGGTCTGTCTCTGTCTGGCCGTCAGCTGAGGAGCAGCTCAAGGCCTCTGTCCCCTTCCACCTCACAGATGGTGGGAAAAGAGGAGGAGGAAGACATAGGGACACAGGCCCGTGTCCGTCTGCTCAGATGCAGTATGTGGACAGAGCTGTGCTTCTCTCCTGGCTATTGCCTCCCTGTGCTCCTCGTCCCTGGCTGCCCCTCATGTTCTGGCTGTGCCTTGGCACAGGCTGTGCCAGCTGTCTCATTTCTTGTCCCTTTCCCATGCTTGTGCTGCTGTATCTGCCTGCACGTCAGCCGTGGTGCTGCACAATCTGAAACAGGCACAAGGTGGAGGGAGCTCACGGAGCTAATGCAGGAGGGAGGTGCTGCCCTAGAGACCCCATGGTTGGGGTGAGCTGCTCTCCCGCCCCAGTCCGCTGCCTCTCACTGCCAGCTCTCCCTCTCTATTCCAGGGGACAAATGGATCCCAGCTCTGGGATACTGCCTTTGCTGTCCAAGCCTTTCTGGAGGTAATGTTCCTTTCAGGGCTGTATGCTGCTTCAGGAAAGTGGCCTCTCTTCTCCAGTCCCCAAATACCAGTGGGTCCTGTTGCACACCCCTATAGAGCTCCACGGTGCAGATGCTGGCATCATGCTCTCTACACCAGAGCTGGTGATGGTGAACATGCTCCTTCTCAGAGCTGTTGATCCCACCATCCATGCCCTAGTGGCACAGAAGGTGACCAGCACAGCAGATGCACCCTAGCATTGCCAGCAGTTTACAGAGCAGGAGTTGATGTTGCTGAATGGGTTGGATTAGGTTTCCTTGTCGCTGCAACCTGGCTCTTCTCCCGTGCTCTGTCCCATGCAGGATCCCTGGTTTGCAGCACTGGAGTGCTAGCTGTAGCGGGCATGTTCTAGGGAGGGTGATATGCTTGACCAGATAAGCCCTTACCCTGGCCAGGCAAGTGCTTCTCTTCAGTACCAGTGACCACAGCTGGTTCAGCTCTAACTGTAGAAGCTATTAGTGGAAACAGTCAGATGGATACAAATGAAGTATGATCCCAAACCAATGGGAAAGACTATATGAAGGGCAGGAGTTGGTTACACTTAGATCAGCAGGTCAGTGAGATCCCAGCATATCCTCTTCTATCCAAGGGACATGTGACAGCCACAGCTCCTTGCTCACTGTGCACCTCTCTTTCCAGGCAGAAGGCCAGAGCATCCCTGAATTCAAGTCCTGCCTCCAAAACGCCCATGAGTTCCTCAAGTTCAGCCAGGTGAGCAGCCCTGGTCGATGGTGTTTCTGCTGTGCTGGCTGTACAAACTCTTGTGTCTTATAGCTCTGTGTAATACCCTGGTTTTCCCCTGAAGAGCACTTTTGCAGAGCTGTGCTAGTAAAGCACTGGGGGCAACTTTTTGTTTCCTGCATTCTTTTTGCTGAGGAACAGCAAAGAAAGGACCTCTACAGCTTGGAGATGACAATGACTGGCTCTAGGGCATTTAAGTTACTTTCCTTGGCTGAGAAAAGTTGTTGAATAGAGAGTCTGAGATTTTTTTTTCTCCTCACTCTACCCATTGACCACATTTTTCAGTTATGCTGCTGGGAAATCTGGCTTCCTTGGCTAGTGACTGTATGGGCTCAGCTCCTTCTGGCCGTGGCTTATGGGGTCAAGGGTGGCTGGGGACAGATGTAGCTGTAGGTCTTGCTTATGGCACTGGCAATGGAAGCATTGAAAAGTGGATGGCTTTCTGTTGGGAAGGAATGATGAAAAGACAGGATTCAGCAACATATGGAGAAATCAGGCCTAAAAGTGATTTCTCACCGCTCCAGACCCAGCCTCTGGCTTTGGCTGCCTTCCTCGGTAAAGGGTGGATGGTGCCCTGGCCCATAGAACTCTGCTCTAGCAGTGGTTTCACACATCTCTGGCCTGTCCTCACTTCTGCTCTTGTCCTATGCAGATCCCGGAGAATCCACCTGACTATCAGAAATATTATCGCCATATGAACAAGGTACAAGAGCTGGTACTGGCTGGGGTGATTGGGACAGCAATTTGGGAAAAGGGAATGGGATTGAGGGGCAGTGAGTTCCTCTGTGCAAGGGCAGAGCAGGTCTGGAGGAAGGTCCTTATTTCTCCTGACCCTTTCCCAGGGTGGCTTCCCCTTCAGCACCCGGGACTGTGGCTGGATTGTAGCTGACTGCACGGCAGAGGGGCTGAAGTCAGTGATGCTGCTGCAGGAGAAGTGCCCCTTCATAACTGAGCGTGTCCCCTCTGAGCGCCTCTTTGATGCTGTGAATGTGGTAAGTGCTGCAGAAAGTGGGGCTGTGGGAAATGCAGCCAGGTAAGCTGAGAAGACAGAGGTCCTAGTGAGCTGGTAGGCCTGGTGTTGGGTAAGCCACTGTGAGGCCTGTGGCCTGCTAATAGCAGTGGTGACACTGTATTAATGTGATACAAGTCTCTACAGTGGTGGTTCGGATAGATGTGCCTCTGGGTTGACATGTGTGTTATGTGCCATCCCTGTGGGTTTAGCTCTGCCCTCACACCTGATTTGGGGGTGGATTGGGGTGCTGCTGCCTGTGGACCGGTTCACTTGCCATTCTCTGCTTGTCTGGGCAGTTGCTGAGCATGAGAAACTCTGATGGAGGCTTTGCCACATACGAAACAAAGCGAGGAGGTCGCCTGCTGGAGCTGCTGAACCCCTCGGAGGTGTTTGGTAAGCAGAATTGTATGGGGTTGGTTGTCTTGCCCACTGCAAAGGGATCTGGCGCCGCTGGGCCTGGTGGGTGCCAGGCTTTGCCACAGGTCCCTTTGTGGGATGCCTGTGAGCTGGGACAAGGGAGAGGCCTCACAGTGGGAGAGCTGCCCTGCAGAGGGGCTGTTGCATTGCTGGTCTTTTCTCATTGACAGGTGATATCATGATTGACTACACCTATGTGGAGTGCACGTCAGCTGTCATGCAGGCACTGAAACACTTCCACGAGGTGTTCCCTGACCACAGAGCCCCAGAGATCAGGTGATACACTGGGAGGAGAGTGGGGCGGGGGAGAAAACAGCCTGCAGTCACCCATACTGCTTGACATGGCCTTGGCTGGTGCAGTCCCTGTTGACCTTTTGTCAGGGACCTCCATGTTGGCATGGAGCTGCCCTTGGTGCATTCAGGACTGGCCTGCTAATGATATCTTCAAACTAGAGTTCCCCATAAGAGGCTGGGCTCCAGCTTGACTCAAGGAGCAGGGCACAGGCTCTCTGTTGCCCTGGTCTTACACAGGGTTGCCAGCTGGGTTCCTGTTGTGTCAGCTCATGGCAGAAAAGCATCCAAGTGGTGCATGATTTGACTGTGAGATCGCGTGGGACTGCTGGTCTGCTCTCCCTTGATCCTTGAGCCGCTTTATAGAGGGGCTTAACCAAATTCTCAGAAAGACCGGCAGCTGCAAAGGCAGACACTGAGTCTGGGCTGCTTTTGAAGCAGACATCTTTCTCCTGAGCAGAGAAACACTGCAAAAGGGTCTGGACTTCTGTCGGAGGACGCAGCGAGCTGATGGGTCGTGGGAAGGGTAAGTAACACTCCTAGGACCTTGCCTGCGTCAAGCCTGGGTTGTCAGGCCTGACGCTACTGCTCATCCCTCCCTCCTAGGAGCTGGGGCGTTTGTTTCACCTATGGCACCTGGTTTGGCCTGGAGGCGTTTGCCAGCATGCAGCACACGTATCGTGATGGGTGAGTGAGGGGCAGTGTGTGGTTTCCCTGCTGCTGTCTCTTGGGCAGGGCCATGTGGTGGGACTGAGGTGATGTCCTGACTGGCCCAGGCACTCCTCTTCCCAAATCTTGTGCCTGTGATTCAGCGCTTAGGTACTTGCTGCCTAAGCTTCAAACCCCCACCATGGGCATGGTAGAGCATGGTTCCCATTAGTGATGGGGGGCACATGGGTGAAAACCATTGTGCCCTCATCTCTCCCCTACAAACCCTTCTGATTCTCTTCTGTGTCTTTGCAGGACTGTGTGCAGAGAGGTGTCCCAGGCGTGCCAGTTCCTGCTCTCTAAGCAGATGGCAGATGGTGGTTGGGGAGAAGACTTTGAGTCGTGCGAGCAGCGCGTGTACGTGCAGAGTGCCACATCGCAGATCCACAATACATGCTGGGCCCTGCTGGGACTCATGGCTGTCAGGTAGGAGCAGCCCTTGCCTCTTGAGATGCTGCAAGGCCCCAAGTGCTGGATGGGATAGGAAATACAAGCCAGGTTCTAGAGAAGAGCTGGCATGGGCCGTGGGCTAAGCTGTGTGCCATGTGACACTTGCTGTGTTGAACAGGCTGTAGGATGCCTCGGGGAAGGTGAGTAGTAAAAGTCTGTGTCATAACCACAAGCCTCTGGCTTGGGACAGTTTTGCCACATTCGTAATGTCTGGTGTGCTAGTGTCACGAAGAGTCTTTCCAAAACACTCGACATGCCAAGGACAAGCACAGGTAGCCTGGAGGTAGCAAAGTTTCCTAAGTGCATGGATAGCATTACATGGACAGTCCAGATTTGTGAGTGTGTGTCTTCTCTGTGCTCCGCAGGTACCCTGATATCAGCGTGTTGGAAAGGGGTATCAAAGCATTGATTGATAAACAGCTGCCTAACGGGGACTGGCCTCAGGTTTGTAGATCCGTTCTCATCTCTCCAGGGGGTTCCTCTGGGCACTGCGCCTCTATGGCAGTCATGTGTTTCCTCTTTCTTGCAAGAGGAAATGCTTGTGGGTTTTTCGGGAACGCCCCAGGGAGCAGTTGAGCTTGGCCCTACGTCCTGGACACAACTATGACTGTTTGTGGTAGTGAGATGGCAGCTCAAGGCTCATGTGGGGTAGAGGGGAATGCTTCCAGAGTGGGCGATGCTACCCTCAGGAGCATGGATGAGGGTGATGCAGTGGGAGCCTGCCACCCCCATCACCTTGCTGTTTCTCTGTCTCTCAGGAGAACATCGCTGGAGTGTTCAACAAGTCGTGCGCCATCAGCTACACCTCCTATTGCAACGTCTTCCCCATCTGGACACTGGGGCGTTTCTCCCGGCTGTATCCTGACAGCCCTCTGGCTGGGCAGCTGCTGTCAGGATCCTCCTCTGGGGCAGGAAGAACCTTAGAGAAGACCTTGTCTGCCTGAGCCTGGGTCGCTTCAGACGCTGGCTTCCAATTTCTTTGTTATTGTACACCATGTAGCAGCACGAGGCTCTTTCCTACTGCAGTTCTTGCTGCAGCACTGGGCCACTGCCTCTTCCACAGAGGAGAGTGTCACCATGGTGCCGCTGGGTTTTCCTTCACTTTCTGTTGAACCTTTTTCTACGAATCAGCTTTTAGAAAGACTCTTGCTGGGTATATCCTCCCGTACAGGACACAGGGCCCAAAAAGACATAGGGATCAAATTCATGATCTGAGAAGGCAAAGTTGCCCAGCACTATTGTGTTAAATATCTAGGCAGACTTGATCTCTCATCCTGAGTAAGGCAAAGCTGTCTTTGTCTTTCCCTTGTGCTGTCCTGGCTCTCTCAGGTTGGCTGTTTGCTGCAAGGGTGTGTGTGTTTTGGCCTTTCCCTGTGCCAGCATTGCAATGGGGTGCACTGTGTGCCCTGCTGAACCAGCCTCTGTTGAGTGGGTGCCCAAACCTGCCTTTGAAGTGCTGTCTGCTCTGACACCATCACTGGGAAGGCAGGCAGGCATCAATGGGACATTAAAAACAAGATGGAAAGCACTGAAGGAGGAGGCTCATGGCTCAGATCTTGGGCTTCAGCCTTCCCCCAGTGCAGTGGGTGTACTGGTTTTCTAGCGGTGATGAGTTGCGCTGGAGGCCACTTGTGCCTTCTGGCATCCTTCTCCATGGGGAGTGGAGGTGAGGGCAGTGTTGTGTTGGAGCATTTCTATTTGGGCCTCAGAGCTGGAAGCTGTGCTGAGTGACAGGTTAATAAATTACTAATGGTGTGGTACATAACTGTGTGCTGGTGTCCTCTTGGCCTGACCTGGTGTGCATCCCACCCAGCAGGCAGCATGTCCAGTAATACCCTGTAGCCTGGTTTAAGTCACCAGACTTTTTCCAGCCTCTTTTCCTGCTGTATTCTGTGGTGTCCAGACTTGCTAAGAGCATGCTCCATCTTCTTGCCCTTGTTAAATTTAAAAGCTTTGTGAAGCAAACTCCCCTTGAGCTGTTTTGACAGCCTTGTTTGCCTTTTTTCCAACTCTGGGCTCCTTTAAACCTGTCTGTGATAACAGTGTGCATTTAAATCCCGTCAGTGTTCTCCATCAAAGTCAAGGAGGTATTTTTAATTCACTTTAGGAGAACTTTGTAAAACCAGTGCCCTTTCAATATATTATTCAAGGGTCTGCTCCCCTCACAATAGTATGCAGTTCCCCTATACTCAACATGCTGCTGCTAGCAGTGCTGCAGCAAAGAAGCTGCTTTATTGCTGTGATCCTGTTTTTATTACCAACACTTTGGTTATTAGTCAAGAGGCAAAGATCAGTGGTGTAGGACGCTCGAGTTTTGTAGCTGCATTTGTGCTCCTTGCAGAAGATCCCAAGCAGGGAGCAGTGTTTAAGGTTTCTTCCAGCTGCAGCTGAACCGATTCGAGTGTTGTGGGGTTGTACACCCTGAGAGGATGTGGCAGCTTGGTTTCCACCTAGGCTTTTGGCTTGAACACCTTGCTTTTTCACCAAACAAAATCACAATTGTGGAAGTTGCAAGGCAGGACCCTAAACTATTGAATGGTGCGTATTTTCCTTCCTCCCTTGCAAGTCCAGGAACTTTACATTAGCTTTGCAGTAGGAAGACATCTCCTTTGCTAGACAGAGAGATGGTCATGGGCTAAAAGCTAATGAACTTTATAAGAGAATATAATGCAGAGATGCGAGGCAGGAAAAAGCCTTTTTAGGGAGAAAAATAAGCTATTATTTTATAGGAAAGACTCCCTTCTAAAGAAGTCTTGCTTTTGTCTAGATGATAACATGAGAAATCTGCTGAGGCAGCCCAGGGGCTTTTGCTCTAGCACCATCTCCCTGCCCAAAGTGGCCCTGGGCTGGGCTACAGTAACAGCCTTCTAGTAAAACCAGGATGGGACGGTGTTCTTGGTGCTGCTCGTCAGAGAGAAAGGGACACTGTTTGCCCGCTGTAGTGTTGTCCGGGCCCCAGGAACCCAGGTCTGCCTTTGTCTGAACCGCCTCAGTTCTGCACCCTTCAAGACTCTGCCCATGGATGAGGACCCCATTTCAGCCCCAGGCACTCAGTATTTGCTTCAAGATGAGCCCATTGGTGCCCCGAAACTGCCTCTTTTATCACATGGAATTAATTAATTCTTCACCTGGAAAGCTGGGCTTTGCTGATTAACTTATTAGCAGGCAGCATTTTTTTTCTCCTAGAGAAGCTGTAGCTTCACTGTGTCATTAAATTTGCTCAGGGAGTTTTAGGCCGCTTTGAAGATGAAAAGCAAACCCTTGAAAACACTCCCTGCCTGCTGCACAACTTTCTGCAAAGTGCAGAAGGGAAAAAGGATCGGCTCCTCCATCTCAACTGGCACTGTATCTGATACAAGCACAGTGCTAACTGACTCAACGAGGCCACATCTAGCAACTCGAGGAAGAGAGAAGTTAAGCAAGCCCTTGTATGGTTCAGCTCTGTGCATGTATCTACACTGTACAGCCCACTGAGATTATGGTCTCCAGCATAAAATTTAAAAAATTACCTTAAGATCATCGAGATGCACTAAGCTCATCTCAGCTTGTTTTAGCATGATTTAGGTATGTCCTATGATGTATTTCCCTGAGCTAATGGGTTGACAACAGCCACCCTGTGCAATATCTTGCATCTTCATAGGGTGTGTACAGTGTGTATCTGGCATAATGCTACCAGCCTACAAGCATTGGTGGATTTTGTCTGTGTCACATAGCTGATGTTGGATGGAAGTCCATAATCTGCTCTGTGACAGGCAATAAATAACATGCCTCCTGCTGTGTTGTACTGCCTGGATGAAGCTATGTTTCTGAGTCTGCAGCCCAGGTCTGCAAAGCAATACGCTCCCATCCCTAAAGTCAGACAACAAATAGACCTTCAGTGCACAGAAATCCTCTGCTAACATTTGAAAATGTGCATCCGAGAAGGAAACAAAACAAACAAAAAACCCAAAAGAAAGAAAGAAACAAAATACTGTCCTGATAGGACAAAGCTTATCTGAGCCAATTTCACCCATTTTATTGTGTCTCAGATGAAGTGATGCCAGAGCAAGTTACCTTAAAGCCACTCTGGACTGAAACTGGCAGGCTGTGTGGCAATAGGGCAGCCCCAGACAGCAAACAAGGTTGCTTTTGACGAGCTACAGGCAACCCAGTCTTGCCTTTTGACTCATCTACCTTCTTCCAATGTGGCCACATAATCCAAATATTGATGTCAACCTTTTCACCAGAGACATCTTTTCAGACCTATAGCTAGCAGTAATATTAATTGGCTTTTCTGCCTCTGAGAAACAGTTAACTTGTAAACCTTGGAATGACATGAAGAGCAAAGGTGGTCATACCTGAGAAAAATGGGACACGAGTACCTAGGCTAAAATTCACAGCATGACCATGTATGCAGCATCCAGAGAGGGGAATAAAACCAGAAAATTGCTTTATATCTGCTAGTGTGATACCTACTCTTGGCTCTGATACCCTGTCCTTTCTGTTATTGCTGATGCTGCATCATGACCAGCACTCTCGCCTTGCATCAAAGAACAGGTTCCCACATATCTTCAATAGCAAGAGTAAGTTGTTATTCTATTTTTTTTTTCTCCAACAGGAATACACCGAATAGCTACAGCCTAAATATAAGCTAATTGTAAGGCTTTAGGAAAGTAGTGCAAGATCAGGTCCTTCGTTTAATCGTATGCCACGATCCATCATCAACGCCTTTCCAAAGCAATGCCCCAGATTGCTGTGAACAAGGGCACACAGAGGAACTCACAACCCTATGGGGAGTTGACGTAGAAAGGGCAGGACAAATAACATCTAATGATACCCACAGAAGAATTTAGAAAGCATATTTCCCATTTAGGCAGCCCTAGGCAAGATCACCTCTGATTTAAACCTAGGGTGAAGAGAAAGCCCAAACCGCGTGGGGAGTGGGGCTAGAAAAGGCATGCATAAGGAAATTTAGTGCTTGTGCAGATGGTTTCTACGCAGCATATTGGCATTTTATCCAACACAAGGCATGATGAGCACAGCTGTCAGGCTAAGATTAGGGCTAAGGATAGGATTAAAAAAATGAGAAGGCCCAGAGCCCCATGGGGAGTGGGGCTAGAAAGGACATTGCAAAAGATATGGAGTGATATATGTAGATGGATAGTAGGCAGGATATTTGCATTTTAGCCAGCATTAGGTGTGGTGAGTTCAGCTTTAGGGCTAGGAATAGCGTCAAGAGAGAGAGAAAAGCCAGAGGCCCCTAGAAAGTGGCGTAAGAAAGGACTGGCAAAAGGAAATGTAGCACTCTGTGCAGATTGCTTTTAGGGAGCATATTTGCATTTTAGCAAGGCCTGGGCATGGCTACCTTAGCTTTAGGAGTAGCTTTAGTGTTACAGCTAGCATAACGATTGAGAGAGAAAAACCAGAGCACCATGGCGGGTGGGATTAGGAAGAGCTGGCCAAAGAAAATGTACCACTCTACACATACTGCTTTTAGGCGGCATGCTTTCATTTTAGCCTGCACTAGGCATGGGAAGGTCCAATTTAGCACCAGGGTTAGGGCTAGGGTTAAGGGAGAGAGAAAGTGCAGAGCCCCATAGGGAGTGGGGCTACAAGTGGTATCCCAAAAGAAATGTAGCGCTTGGTATGTATCGGCTTTAGGCAGCGTATTAGCAAGCCCTATGCACAGTTACCTTAGCTTTACAGATATCTTTAGGGTTAGGGCTAGGATTAGGGTTAAAAGAGAGAGAAAAAACAGAGGCCCACGGAGAGGGGTATTAGAAAAGCCTGGCAAACTGAAAGGTAGCGCTCTGTGCAGATTGCTTTTAGGTGGCATATTTGCATTTTAGACAGCACAACGTGTGGGAAGGACACCTTTGGGTTTAGGGTCGCATGGGGGCCTAGGTGCACCCTGAGGGCCAAGAGGTGTCATGAGCAGGGGGACGAGTGGGGCGTGCGGCCCCTGAAGGTCATCCTGCCCCTCCCCGGTGGGTCACAGGCGGCCCTCGTGTGACAGCGCGGCCCTCTGTGACTGCACTGCTATGACATCCCGGCCAGGCGGGCTCGGCCTGCAGTGTCCGGGAGGACGGCAACAGGAGAGGACGGGAGCGAAGGTGCTGCTGAAGCAGCGCACTGAGAGCACCCAGAATTATCTCTGTTGTCCCCGGGCGGCTCCGCGGAGTTTGGCCACGCGGCCAGGATGGCGGAGCGACCCCCCARCCAGCCCTGGATGGCTTGGGAGGATGATGAGGAGGAGGATGGGGCGGTTGCGTTGAACACCTGCAACCAGAAGCCCCAGGCATGGTCTGTGCACCAGAAGGTGCCTTCGGGTGAGTGAGGGGCAGYGCTGGGCTGGGCAGGGGCAGCAGCGGGCGCAGGRGCAGAGGGCTGGGCTGCCTCGAGCCCTCTCTCYGCCAGCCCTGCAGCTCTGCCCGCTCTTTCTCCATCAGCTCCTGGCCCGCAGCTGCCTCRAGAGGCRGCAGAAGCCCTGGAGCAYGTGCGYGCCTTCCTCAGCTCCGGAGGGCAGGTGAGTGTCCCCAAGGCGCTCGGGGCTGCGCCGGCCTCTCCTGCTGGGTCCCTTGGGGTGCCCGAGCCCT